ATGACAGGAAATCTTGAGTCTAGTGACTTTCTGATACGGTTCAGGATTGCTTTTTAGAACAGGTTGTGACAGAACCAACTAGAGGAACAATCTGCTTGACTTGGTTCTTGCCAACAAAGATTCACTAATTAATAATCTTGAGGTTAATGATAAGCTTGGGGAAAGTGATCACGTATCACTTAGTTTTCAATATATCATGGAATTACCCAGATAACTGCAATCAATCTCTGTCCCAGATTTTCACTTTGCCGACTTCATGGGACTGAAAAATTACTTGGTGGGCTAAATTGGGATGTACTAACTATGGGTCAGGTAGGTGATCTTGGTTGCCAATATGACGCTTTTCAGAGCAAGTTCTAGCTGCCCAGACAACTTTTGTTCCGAGTAGGGAAATTAGATCAAACAAAAATGATCCCAAATTGGATGAACAATAGATTAAAACATCTCATGGTCAAAAGAGAGGCATATATAGGCGTATCAAAAGAGGGATGGCAGTTAAGAAATCAATATATTCAATTAAAGAGAGAAATAAAGAAAGGCATAAGAAAAGCAAAAAGAGATTATGAGGCTAAGGTCGCAAGGGATTCAAAGACTAACCCGAAAGGGTTCTTTCAGGTATACAGAAGTAAGATTAGGGACAAGATTGGCCCACTTAAGAATAACTCTGGTCAGATCACTGACAGTGATAAGGATATGTGTGAAATTCTAAATACCTACTTCCCCCTCAGTTTTCACCCAGGAAAATACTAGCGATATTCCTGAAATAATAGATTACGTAGAACAGGATGATAAACTATGTACGATTGCAGTAACTAGTGACATGGTACTCAGACAAATAGAGAAACTAAAACCTAACAAATCCCCAGGTCCTGATGAACTGTTTGCAAGGGTGTTAAAGGAATGTAAAGAGGAACTTAGCATACCTTTGGCTAATCTTTTTAACATATCACTACAAACTGGCAAAGTGCCTGATAAGTGGAAAATGGCAAATGTAATACCTATTTACAAGCAGGAGACAAGTCCTTGGCTTCAAACTATAGACCAATAAGCCTTACCTCCATAGTGGGAAAATTTATGGAATCAATAATTGCCGAAGCAATTCGTAGCCCATCTTGACTGGCACAGATTGATTAATGATTCTCAACGAATTTACTAACTTTTTTCACTAAGGTGTTTGAGGAGGTAGATCGTGGTAATGTGTATGATATTGTGTATATGGACTTCAGTAAGGCTTTCGATAGAGTTCCACACCAGAGGCTATTGAGGAAACTTAGGGCACACGGAAGAGGAGAAATTTTTTCCTGGGTAGAGGCATGGCTGACAAATAGACAGCAGAGAGTTTGAATAAATGGGGAGAAATCAGAATGGGGGCACGTCACAAGCGGTGTTCCTCAGGGGTCAGTGTTGGGCCCATTGTTGTCCACAATTTGCATAAACGACATAGATGTGGGAATAAATAGTGACATAAGCAAATTTCCTGACGACACCTAAATTATTTTATTATTATCACACTGGCCGATTCCCACCAAGGCAGGGTGGCCCGAAAAAGAAAAACTTTCACCATCATTCACTCCATCACTGTCTTGCCAGAAGGGTGCTTTACACTACAGTTTTTAAACTGCAACATTAACACCAAAATAGGCTGTCCAATTCATTCTAATGAGGACATTAGAGCACTCCAGGATGATTTGAATAGACTGACTCAATGGTCGGAGAAGTGGCAGATGCAGTTTAATATTGACAAATGCAAAGTTCTAAATGTTGGACAGTTAAATAACCATGCCACATATAAACTAAATAATGTAGATCTTAATACTACCAGATTGGTCTAATCCAGGGGGGAGGGGGGGGACATGGACCTGCTCCACATGGGTCAGTAGGCCTGTTGCAGTGTTCCTTCTTTCTTATGTTCTTATGTATATTCAAAGTCAAGCAATGTCTGAAAATGCCTTTTCCCATGTTTGAAATATTAAAATGCCTTGAAATATCTAATCTCAAAAGAAACTAGTGCACAGTGTTAGATATTATAAACAATAATTTAATCATAGAATTGATGAGGGAAAAAAGGTGATTGGTGCGTTGAGGTATATGTGGAGTCAAAAAACGTTATCTATGGAGGCAAAGAAGGGAATGTATGAAAGTATAGTAGTACCAACACTCTTATATGGGTGTGAAGCTTGGGTGGTAAATGCAGCAGCGAGGAGATGGTTGGAGGCAGTGGAGATGTCCTGTCTAAGGGCAATGTGTGGTGTAAATATTATGCAGAAAATTCGGAGTGTGGAAATTAGGAAAAGGTGTGGAGCTAATAAAAGTATTAGTCAGGGGGGAGAAGAGGGGTTGTTGAGGTGGTTTGGTCATTTAGAGAGAATGGATCAAAGCAGAATGACATGGAAAGCATTTAAATCTATAGGGGAAGGAAGGCGGGGTAGGGGTTGTCCTTGAAAGGGTTGGAGAGAAGGGGTAAAGAAGGTTTCGTGGGCGAGGGGCTTGGACTTCCAGCAAGCGTGCGTGAGCGTGTTAGATAGGAGTGAATGGAGACGAATGGTACTTGGGACCTGACGCTCTGTTGGAGTGTGAGCAGGGTAATATTAGTGAAGGGATTCAGGGAAACCGGTTATTTTCATATAGTCGGACTTGAGTCCTGGAAATGGAAAGTACAATGCCTGCACTTTAAAGGAGGGTTTTGGGGTATTGGCAGTTTGGAGGGATATGTTGTGTATCTTTATATGTATATGCTTCTAAACTGTTGTACTCTGAGCACCTCTGCAAAAGCAGTGATAATGTGTGAGTGAGGTGAAAGTGTTGAATGATGATGAAAGTATTTTCTTTTTGGGGATTTTCTTTCTTTTTTTGGGTCACCCTGCCTCGCTGGGAGACGGCCGACTTGTTGGAAAAAAAAAAAATTTAGTCATCAATAACTTGTAAAATGTGAATATTGCTAGAACATTTATGCCACTGTTGCTGATACAAGATCAATTTTTGCCAATTTCAATGCATCATAAAATAAGTTTTCATCCGATTTTCTTCTTTCCACTTCGGAAAAAAACAGACCTTACCAAACTAAGAAATAAAATTATTTTTAAAATTTTAACCGTGCAGGATATTTTATTTCTGTGTATGCCACACCTTATGAGTTAATGCATCTTTGCATGCATGAAACCACAAACTATCTAGAAATTTGCGGTTGAGGGCCAATTCCATTATTTATAGCAAAGATTAGATGCATCTGCAATTGTTGCCAGCAGGAACGTGCATGACACCCAAGTATCTTCCCACAAACATTTATATGCTTGGACCTGCAGTAACATAAGGGAGAAAACAAAAGTAAAACTCAGCTGTTTAATTAGCAAGAGAACTGCCCAGAAGCTTTTAGATCTGTTCACATTTCACTGTATAATATGTACTTAACCCTTTTACTGTCCAGACTCCAGATCTGAAACTTGTCTTCTGAAATGGTGGAAAATCTTTTTCTGAAGGTAATTAAAGTAATTATAGCCGTACTTGTCCTGGAAATGGGAAGTACAATGCCTGCACTCTAAAGGAGGGGTTTGGGGATATTAGCAGTTTGGAGGGATATGTTGTGTATCTTTATACGTATATGCTTCTAAACTGTTGTGTTCTGAGCACCTCTGCAAAAATGATGATTATGTGTGAGTGAGGTGAAAGTGTTGAATGATGATGAAAGTATTTTCTTTTTGGGGATTTTCTTTCTCTTTGGGTCACCCTGCCTCGGTGGGAGATGGCCGACTTGTTGAGGAAAAAAAAAAAAAAAAAAAAGTATGAAATCTGATGGAAAATTGATGAAATTAAGCTTTCACGAATTTTGCTGTCAGCTGTATTTACGCATCGGAGATTTTGCCAACTTTGAGTCCTATTTTATGCCAATTACATAGTTCCAGTTGACCAAATTCTTAGCTATTTCGCTAGTATGTCTTCCATTTTATCGCCTGAGCACAAGAAATTTCCCAAAGAACTATTTCAATTACCCAATGAAGTGACAAGAAATTGGTAATTTGGCCAATTTTACACAAATTTCAAAACAGGGTCCAGAATAAATAAAACAGGCATTCCTGGCACTAAAATAACATTGCCTTTGTTCATTAATTATGTTTCCATTTTTATTTTTTCTTAAAAAAATACAAGACTTACAGTTACGTAATACTGTAATAATTGTATAAATAATATCAGCACATTCGTGAACGCATATCAGACCCACCAAATGACGTGCACTGGACCCGTGATGTGTTTATCCTTGAACATAGGCAAACACTGAACATTTCTGCTAAATTGAGCTCAATTTCAAGCTATTTTCAGTCCCAAACCAATCAATATCATCTCTATCTGTAATATATCTTCTATTCTATCAAATAAGACCAAGAAACCCAAGAATATGACCATAAAAGCCACACAAAAATAGTACACTGCAACGTGACCGTTTTAAACCAAAAACACTGTCGCCGTTTTTTTTTATGCACTTTTATATGGTGCACACTTACAGTGTCGACCCTTTCTCTCATACCTAGGCCCAAATTTACTGCTCACAGCTTACCTGAGCGAGCTGAGCTCATTACGTAGTACTACAGCACAGTCAGCAAAAGGGTTAAACTAAATGACACAAAAATTTCATATTTAGAAACATTCAAATGTGAACTTACACTTTACTTGAAATAATTATTTATTAATACTTTAGCATTCTGCACCCCACCAGGAAACAGCAGTGCAAACAACACCAATGAACATTGTTAAACTTGTCATTAACAGTTGCAATTTTTTGGCCATTCTGCTCCACCGATAACTTTAATACAATCTTAAAATTACAATAATGCAAAGGTTTTCTATTGTTTCATTGTTTCACATCTGTTTATAAAGTATATCTATACACAATAAGATCCTCATACTCCTTTTAATCAAAATTCTAAGGCATCATATTTTCTGAATATTTTTCTAGACATACAACCAATTTTTAAGGTACTTTATGGTTAAATGCTCACACATCTTACCTTTTTATTGTCTGGAACAATAAGGTCAAGACATGACTGCAGAGCAGAACCCATCTGCACCAGCTGACAACGAATCATTTCAGAAGGTAAAGACTGAAGCATTGGACCTTCTGGTAAATCTTCACGCTGAGATTCGCTCAAATCTGCTCCAAAATGGATGCACTCACTGCGGTGATCAACACGAATCTGCAAATAAAAATCAAATTGGTGAAAAGGCTTCACGTATGGTATGTATTTATACTTTATACGATATTCACCGCTAGATATTAATGTTCACTCTATGGGTATTGCATGTTTTTTAAATTATTTACGCCATCACCCGAGCAAAAAATTTAGTACTCACAATCTAAACAAGCATTTATGAAAAATTAACGAATATTTAAAATTTCAACATAGTACACCCAACATCCAACTTACGACCTGCTCGACATACGACCATTCATTCGACTTACAACCGTGCTTTCTATGCCAAATTTCTGGGAAATGAACAAGTGTTTGTGTTGTACACAGTGTTTATCCTAAACCTTACAGTATAAAATACAGTACTAACAGCAAAAAAAGTAAAGTAAAAAATGAAATACTGAAATAAAACAATAAAATAAAGTCATTACAAAAATGTGATATTGTTATTCAGTAGTAAGGTTCAACTTGCGTCCATTTCGACTTACGACCGGTTTATCGGAACCGAACTTCATCTAAGTTGGATGGTACCTGTACACTATGATGCCATTGCTAAATACCCAACGATTTCCCATTTAGACATAATTAAAAACTTTTTGCTTATTTTTCAAGTTTACGTATGAATAATTAAAATAGGGAGGAGGAAGTTCGGGTGAGATATAAACGACTACTGGCAGAAAGGTGGGCTAGTGCAAAGATGAGTAGTGGGGAGGTTGAAGAGGGTTGGAATAGTTTTAAAAATGCAGTATTAGAATGTGGGGCAGAAGTTTGTGGTTATAGGAGGGTGGGAGCAGGAGGAAAGAGGACTGATTGGTGGAATGATGAAGTAAAGGGTGTGATAAAAGAGAAAAAGGTAGCTTATGAGAGGTTTTTACAAAGCAGAAGTGTTATAAGAAGAGCAGAGTATATGGAGAGTAAAAGAAGGTAAAGAGAGTGGTGAGAGAGTGCAAAAAGGAGAGCAGATGATAGAGTGGGGAGAGGCACTGTCAAGAAATTTTTAATGAAAATAAGAAAAAATTTTGGAGTGAGTTAAACAAGTTAAGAAAGCCTAGGGAAAGTATGGATTTGTCAGTTAAAAACAGAGTAGGGGAGTTAGTAGTATGGGGAGATGGAGGTATTAGGTAGATGGCGAGAATATTTTGAGGAACTTTTAAATGTTAAGGAAGAAACAGAGGCAGTAATTTCATGCACTGGTCAGGGAGGTATACCATCTTTTAGGAGTGAAGAAGAGCAGAATGTAAGTGTGGGGGAGGTACATGAGGCATTACGTAAAATGAAAGGGGGTTAAAGCAGCTGGAACTGATGGGATCATGACAGAAATGTTAAAAGCAGGGGGGGATATAGTGTTGGAGTGGTTGGTACTTTTGTTTAATAAATGTATGAAAGAGGGGAAGGTACCTAGGGATTGGCGGAGAGCATGTATAGTCCCTTTATATAAAGGGAAAGGGGACAAAAGAGACTGTAAAAATTATAGAGGAATAAGTTTACTGAGTATACCAGGAAAAGTATACGGTAGGGTTATAATTGAAAGAATTAGAGGTAAGACACAATGTAGGATTGCAGATGAGCAAGGAGGTTTCAGAGTGGGTAGGGGATGTGTAGATCAAGTGTTTACATTGAAGCATGTATGTGAACAGTATTTAGGTAAAGGTAGGGAAGTTTTTATTGCATTTATGGATTTAGAAAAAGCATAGAGGAGCAATGTGGCAGATGTTGCAAGCATATGGAATAGGTGGTAAGTTATTAAATGCTGTAAAGAGGATAGTGAGGCTCAGGTTAGGGTGTGTAGAAGAGAGGGAGACTACTTCCCGGTAAAAGTAGGTCTTAGACAGGGATGTGTAATGTCACCATGGTTGTTTAATATATTTATAGATGGGGTTGCAAAGGAAGTAAATGCTAGGGTGTTCGGGAGAGAGGTGGGATTAAATTTTGGGGAATCAAATTCAAAACGGGAATTGACAGTTACTTTTTGCTGATGATACTGTGCTTATGGGAGATTCTACAGAAAAATTGCAAAGGTTAGTGGATGAGTTTGGGAATGTATATAAAGGTAGAAAGTTGAAAGTGAACATAGAAAAGAGTAAAGTGATGAGGGTGTCAAATGATTTAAATAAAGAAAAATTAGATATCAAATTGGGGAGGAGGAGTATGGAAGAAGTGAATGTTTTCAGATACTTGGGAGTTGACATGTCGGCGGATGGATTTATGAAGGATGAGGTTAATCATAGAATTGATGAGGGAAAAAAGGTGAGTGGTGCGTTGAGGTATATGTGGAGTCAAAAAACGTTATCTATGGAGGCAAAGAAGGGAATGTATGAAAGTATAGTAGTACCAACACTCTTATATGGGTGTGAAGCTTGGGTGGTAAATGCAGCAGCGAGGAGACGGTTGGAGGCAGTGGAGATGTCCTGTTTAAGGGCAATGTGTGGTGTAAATATTATGCAGAAAATTCGGAGTGTGGAAATTAGGAAAAGGTGTGGAGTTAATAAAAGTATTAGTCAGAGGGCAGAAGAGGGGTTGTTGAGGTGGTTTGGTCATTTAGAGAGAATGGATCAAAGTAGAATGACATGGAAAGCATATAAATCTATAGGGGAAGGAAGGCGGTGTAGGGGTCGTCCTCGAAAGGGTTGGAGAGAGGAGGTTTTTTGGGCAAGGGGCTTGGACTTCCAGCAAGCATGCGTGAGCGTGTTAGATAGGAGTGAATGGAGACGAATGGTACTTGGGACTTGACGATCTGTTGGAGTGTGAGCAGGGTAATATTTAGTGAAGGGATTCAGGGAAACCGGTTATTTTCATATAGTCGGACTTGAGTCCTGGAAATGGGAAGTACAATGCCTGCACTTTAAAGGAGGGGTTTGGGATATTGGCAGTTTGGAGGGATATGTTGTGTATCTTTGTGTGTGTATGCTTCTAAACTGTTGTATTCTGAGCACCTCTGCAAAAACAGTGATAATGTGCGAGTGTGGTGAAAGTGTTGAATGATGATGAAAGTATTTTCTTTTTGGGGATTTTCTTTCTTTTTGGGTCACCCTGCCTCGGTGGGAGACGGCCGACTTGTTGAAAAAAAAAAAAAAAAAAGTTAGTCTACAGAGCAAAATACTAAACTGAAAATTTTTTGTCCTAAATTACCTTTTGCAAATATTTCTAAAATGATAATGCTTACACAAAATGCTATAATGGACTTGTAATTACTACTAAGACATTATTATTATAATCACGGATAAGCAGTAAACTCTTCCAAGGTCATCAAGTGCCTCGGAAATGGCAATTTAGTTATCAGATTAACCCTTTAACTGTCCAAATGTAGATCTATGTTTTTAACCCTTTCAGGGTCCATGCCGTAGTTCTACGGCTTTGAGTTGAGGGTCCAAACCGTAGACCTACGCCATGAGCTTAGCTCACTCTGATAAGCTGTGAGTAGTAAATTTGGGCCTAGATATGAGAGAATACATCTATGTGGTATGTGTATACTACATAAAACAAATCCTGAAGCACACAGTGCATAATGAAAAAAAAAAACGAGACCATAATTTTCGATTAACACAGCGACTTTGAGGTGTTTTTTCGTATGTTTTTTTTATAGTTGTATTTGCAATTTCTTGATCTCATTCGATAGAATGGAAGATATATTACAGAAATAGAGATGATTTAAATTGGCTTTAGTACTGGAAATGGCTGAAACTGAGCTCACAGTATCGGAAATGCTAAATTTTTGCCGATGTTCATGAGTAAACAAATGACCTCACACGTCTAGTACATGCCAGCTGGTGGGTCTAATACACGCTCACAAATGTGGTGATATTATTTATACAATTATTACAATATTGCATAAAAGTAAACCTTCTATTTTTTGGTTTGAATAACAATTCATTATGTGAATAAAAAAAATCAAAATGGAATTCATCTGTAAAGCCTGAAAACATAAATAATGAACAGAGGAAATGTAAGTTTAGTGCCAGGAATGCCTGCATTGTTTATTCTGGACCCTATTTTGAAATTGGAATATTCTGAACTTTGTGTTAAACTGGCCAAATCACCAATTTCCTATCACTATTTTGTAGTTGAAACAGATGACTTGGCGATTTCTTGTTCTCAAATGATAGAATAGAAGTAATACTAGTGAAATAGCTAAGACTTTGGTCGACTGGAATAATGTAATTGGCCTAAAATGGGAGTCAAATTTGGCAAAATCGCCGATGCGTAAATATCACTGACACGTTGTTACGCGCCCCTACTTCACTCCATTATATACAAAAATAAAAGGCCTGGTTAAAATAAGTTCTGTAATAATATATCGCGAACCACTTTATTACTAGCTAGATAAAGCAGGTTCGACTATATATTATTATCGGGTACGGTATGAATCATCAACAGTACTCTCATTGTATTATATTATATCTTTCCCCATGATTATTATAATTCTTCTTTCTTTCAACACACCGGCCGTATCCCACCGAGGTGGGGTGGCCCAAAAGGAAAAACGAAAATTTCTCCTTTTACATTTAGTAATATATACAGGAGAAGAGGTTACTAGCCCCTTGCTCCCGGCATTTTAGTCGCCTCTTACAACACGCATGGCTTACGGAGGAAGAATTCTGTTCCACTTCCCCATGGAGATAAGAGGAAATAAACAAGAATAAGAACTAGAAAGAAAATAGAAGAAAACCCAGAGGGGTGTGTATATATGTGCTTGTACATGTATGTGTAGTGTGACCTAAGTGTAAGTAGAAGTAGCAAGACGTGCCTGAAATCTTGCATGTTCATGAGACAGAAAAAAGGACACCAGCAATCCTACCATAATGTAAAACAATTACAGGCTTTCGTTTTACACTCACTTGGCAGGATTGTAGTACCTCCCTGGGCGGTTGCTGTCTACCAACCTACTACCTATATTATTATAATTATAATATTATATTATTATTAGGTTAGGTATTACAAATGTGTAACCACTACTGTAGTGACCAATTGGTGGTTCTAGAATTGACGCCACGCGTCGCCTTCTGGCCGAGCTGAA